GGCGGGCCAGGGAGGCTCCCAGAAGTATGCTGCACGCGTTCCTGGGAGTCCCTCACCATCGGCCAACGCAGGACACCCGCAGTGGTTTTAGTGGGTATGCCCCCTTCCAACACAAGGTTGGGGGTGAGTCCCACATAACCCGGCTCCCCTCCCCCGTGGGGACCCGGGTATGCGTAACGCATTTCCACTGCGATATCAAAAAAAAAAAAAAAAGTAGGCGTCTCCTCAGAAATCTGGCCGAAAAGGGAAACTGATTCCGAGCGCTGAACTTTATACTCACGCAACATTTTCTATCTTAATCAGTCCATCCAACCGAGATTGATCTATAATGGCTGATGGCAAAGAATGATCCGTAAATGCCTAAATTTGTTTTAATATCAACCAATATCGTCCAATATCAACCAGGATAATAAATCTATCGGCTCTTACTTTATCTTGTAACTTAATGTACGCAAAATGCCGGATTATACTTTGAACGAAATTATTGATATTCTTCTGGTACTTAGAGAATGCCATAACAATTATCGACAAGCAGCGGTATTGTACCGTAATCGATTTCCTCATAGACGACATCCAAATTATTGTACGATTACCAGACTTGTATTGCGTTAACGACAACGTCAACGTCAAAAACGACCAAGACTTCATATTAACTTACCAGAAAGGGATGATCCAACAGTACTTGCCGTCAGTGATGCACATTTGGCTTCCCGGCAACACGGAATCCAGCCCCACCATTTTTACCCCCACCTACCGGCATCGAGTCGGCCGCGAGAGCGAGCGAGGCAGCGAAAGGCAGCGCCCGTCCTTTTCGCTCTACCAGTAAATCGTAAACACATGCAGGTATTAGAGCGAAAAGGACGGCCGCTCTATCTCGCTATCTCGCTTTCTCTGCTAGTCGCTCGTTACAAGCGACCGAAAACCGAAAATGTACCTTCTCGGCCGCTCGGCGTATTCTTGTACAGGGTATCCCGATCTTTTTTGCCAATCACTTTTGTATTCATAGAGAGGATTAAACTGAGTCGAAAAGTCCTCTACCATTTTGCAATTTTCACAATAGTTAACAAGATATTAATTACTAAAAATTGCAAAATATTTGTCTTGAAAAATTTTTTACTCAAATACCAACTTTACAGAAAAAGACTGCAAGAGACAAAAATTATTTATTTTCTTCTCATAAAGTTTTGAGAATTTTTTCAGAATTTTTTATCAGCTTTTTAATACTGCATTTTCTTATTTTTATCAACATGAGAAAATACGGTATTAACCCTGTGAGGAGCAGCGTATCATATATGATACACCAAACTTTTTTCAGTTTTTTATCCATACCGCGACCGTTTTCAGCTCAATCGCTCTCGAATAAACTTCTACACTATCATTATTACTTAGGCTTCGTAATGCTTTGATTGAAAATTTGAAAATTTATTTATTTAATTATTTATAAACAATCAAAAACGTAAATTTATTAATTTTTTCGAATAAATTCGGCCATGGACAGAGTTTTTAAGGTAATCTTATGAAAATTTGTATAAAAGGGTTTTCGGGGTCGCTGATTACGGATCCAGTATCAAATTTTTGAAATTCCTAAATGTGGACCCATATGGCGGCTTCATGAGATTTTTCGGGTCGACGATCATACACTTGAGTTCCGAGTTCAAACATTCATAATTTTCTAAACGTAATTACCTACTATCGTATCAAAATTATATTTTACACGTGATTCGTGTTTGAAAAACTGATAGAGGATAATCTATTGGACATACATCTATAAGCTGCTATTCTGGATTCACCATCGTGAGGTCCGAAATCTTGATTTCAGAATCATAATCAGTGACTCTGGTAACCTTTGTCTAAGAAAGGATTCGATCTCTTACAGTGTCTGAGTACTATTATTACTTATTTTTATATATTATACCTATTAAGATGATGGAGAGGGGGAAGCGTTTTCGACTCCCTACAGTATAAATATTTACAGACCTCTCATTT